AGCCCGCCCTCCACATGTTTAAAAGTGGCCACCGTAGGGTTTCAGCACTCACACTCGGACATGCCTAGGCGAGGGTTGCCTGTTCGAGTCTCGTAGGGTTTGGGGCTTAGGGGGCTATGCTAAGTGCTGTGACGCAAAGTGTTTGATGCGGCTGCTTAGACTATTTATTTAAGACTGTGCTTGACGGGTCATTGATGCTCACAAGACAGGCTGCGGGATAAATCCTACCTCCCGATGTCAGACTGCATTCCCGGCCCTCACCCAAAATCGGGGCCCGAGTGATGAGAGGGCCCGTCACGGTTTGACAAGGATTGCTAACTGTTTTTTGTTAGAAGAGGGTTTACTACAAGGGCTTAAAATGGCTTTATGCATCATGGGCCTTACAATATGGGTCTTAAGCAGTCAGAATGGGGGTTTTGGGGTATGCTCAACTTTCATTCTATTCGGGAGCCATCGGGGACGGTATCAATCAGTCGGGCCTCCATGTTACACCAAACCCTCAATCCTAAACCCTAAACCCTAATGAACCCTAAACCCTAAACCGTGAGAGGACCTGCTTCGGCGCCAACTTCGGCTTGGGAATGTTCTTCGCAAATTCCCGGGCCTGCAAAAACCGCAGCTTTGGCTCGTAGAGAGACTGCAGGAGGAATGTGCAATCTTTTGGGCTTTGGGTGTGAAGACAGATAGATCAGGCTTGTTCCAGTGGGCAAGGGGTCATTGACCAAATCCCTCCTCCAGCATCGCAACGTCTGAAGCTTGCTTCCGGCACTTTTGGTGTGCCCGGCATGCTGTCGAACTTTCTCCCGGTCGCAGCGACTCCAGCAACTCCCTCAACTCTTGGGGCAGTTCGACCCTAGCATGAAACGCACCGAAGAGGGCCGAAAAACGGACCTCCGCACAGTGCAAAAAGAGGCGAAGGCACTGTGGCATCAAGGTCTCAGACTGACGACCGTAAGTTAAATCCCCAACCAACGGACGCCCCATGCTGGCAAAATGCACTCGAATTTGGTGTCGCCTCCCAGTTTTGGGCTGCACACGGAGCAGCATCAACTCGTCCCCTCCCATACTCGGCGAGGAATATCGACCCTTGACTTCGTAGGAAGTGAAGGAATCACGCCCGGAGACGTCGTGACCGCAGACCTCGCTAATCCAAGTTTCCGCATCCACTTGAACCGATCGTAGAGGCACCGAGATGTTCCCCTTGCTGCCAACGTCACCCAACGATCTGCCCTCCTGGAATATGGGGGACGATGGAAAACTTAGTCCCCATGAACTGCACATAAGACTGGTCTGCTAGGCCGGACGCTTTCCCTTAATCTTGTTCCAAGGCTCGCAAAGGCAGATGTAGTGCTTGCCGACCAGCCGCCCCGCAAACTGCGCTTTACACCATCGCCCGGAAGGGGACGTCTCCGCTCCCAAGACAAGGGGCAACACTCCGGAGGTCGGTTGATCAAGCCTGGAAGACGGGGGTCTGAATGGTTGTAGCAATCTCGGGGTGTTTCGGGGGGAACTTGACAAGGATCGGACTATCTAGGCTCTACACTACGGCACAGCAACGCCTTGTACTGTACCTTGTGAAAACCCCATATTCCCTGTTTCTGCGCTAGCTCACGCAACTAGGCCGTACCAGTAGTAGCTGGAGTAGTAGTTTCGGCGTCGTCGTCGTCGTCGTAGTCGTAGTAGTGGTGGTCGTGGTCGTGGTCGTAGTGTAGTAGTAGTAGTAGTAGTAGTAGTAGTGGTGGTGGTAGTAGTAGTAGTAGTAGCAGCAGCAGCAGAAGTCATGAGGAGAAGTGGGAGGATTAGTAGAAGTAGTCGCGGCAGCAGCAGCATGACAATGCATGGAAAACTAAGTTTGTTATGATAATGAGCCCAGGCTTGTTTGCTGTATTTATGTGGACCGGGGACAATTGCCAAGCACGAAACATGATGCCAAGAGCTTTGGTGGTGCTTGTTTTATTGATGTATTGTGACCTATATGCATGCAGCCCGCCGCTACCGAAGGCAAGTCATCCCGGCGAGTTATGCAGGCTTGAGGCATATATAGTAGTTCTTACAAGACTACGCAAAGCACCAGCAATCGAATTGTTGAATTGTGGTGATGCGCGATTTGTTGCTGTCATCATGAAACCGCGGGTGCTGTCCCAAACTTTCCACTTGCTTTAGTGTGGCTTTCTCTTCTTCTGCGCACTTAACTGCCAGTCTTGACAGTTTTTGAGATTGCTCACATGGGGCTTTGAAGGCCAATGACTTGGACAAGACTGTTTGCAGTGCATAGTTATGACTTAACTCATGTACTGCGGGGCATGTTCGTATGCAAAACAGGCATGCATATCTATCTGTCTACTTGTGCTGATTCAACACATGCAAATGCACACGCGTACAGCGCAACGTTGTCGTGCATACATTAGACGAGATCAAATCTGCCAACCCAGGACCTGGGAAGCGTACAGGTATTGCAGGTAAGGTGATACTATTGCTTCTTGAAGCAGGTAGCTCAACTCCACAACTAATGAGTCACGAAGGCGATCCCTTCAAATCGCCAAGGGTCGATGTTGAGAGTGGCCTGCTAGCAGCTGGGATCAAGAGGAAAAAAGAACTTAATCCGACTAGGAGAGCGCCGAGCAGCCGCGACACCACAGAAAGGCAAAAGCCATGTTCTTTGAGTGGCACTGCCAGCTGCTCCACCAGCTGCTCCGTGCTGACACCTTCACGCTCTCCCCTAGCTAATGAGACTGAATGCCGAATGAGCCACTGTCAGGCCTAAAATATCTCACCCCAAGTGTCCGGAATTCCTTTATCCCTTGGAAGCCACTCCAAACCGAAAACCCAAAAATCCCCAGGATCAAGATTTGCTAACCTCCAGCCTGCCAACCAGATCCACCCTAAAACGCGACTGACACAAACTGAAACCCCAAGTCCTCCTCGAGCCCTGTGTTTTCTCTTTCTGTTGGTGCCAGGATCTGGGACGTGCCACGCAGGGTAGAGTATAACTATATAATAAGGAACACCACGGCGGAACTTATGGGTATTCGATCCGGCCCCTCTAGTCTGGCATGCTGCTTCGTCATGGAATCGACTTCATGAAGTACATGTACCATGCACTGCAAGGAGCATGTCTCATGTTTGTCAGAGTTCATGAACTCCAAGCTCTAAAACTCCAAAGCCTTGAATGCTAGCCCTAAGCCCGACAAAGGCAGGACATGTAAACCCAGACCGTGCTTCAATTGGGTGTAAGCGCTCAAAACAAAAGGTAATTGGAGCCACATAAAATCCCAACCCGCTACACCCTCAACCGAAACCCCCCAACCTCCTGCTACAAGATGTAGGCCCCAAAGCACCTTAACCGAAAACTCAACGCAGTATTGTGTGAAGCCCTACAAGAACTGAAAACCCAACACCCTCAAACTCGGTCGGTGCACTTTCAATCCCCTAAACCTCAGGATCTGAAATCCTTCCTGTCCCGAAGGCAAGGCCCTAAGGGCAACACCTTCGGGTTTCGCCACAGCGAAGACCCCCGGGGCCGAGGCTACGACAGAGAACTCCTCCTGGAGCGACCTCGGCTGGGCTTCAATTCGAAGTTCCGTGATAAGTAGACAAATGCTGATTTAATTCTTCGGATTCTGGGTTCAGGGGATTCAAAGCATTTAGGGATAGGGTTCTAAGAGCAACAAATCAAACAACCACATGCAATTCCTTGCCAAAGGTCCCCCGCACCTGCCTCTCGATATGGACTAAGTATCGGGTTTATCTTACCTGTGTAGTAGACTTGGGAGTTTACATCCTACCCTGTGGAGATTTTTTTTGCATTGGCAACAAAACAACAGCATATGCCGAAACCAAACCATCACCGGGTCTGGTGCAAGGCTGTTGTAGTGTTTAGATGTTTTTAGGCAGTCCGCAACGGCTTTTGGTTTCACAACAACTTATCACGCGAGGTGGTCCGCGGCCTTTAACAGGGGAGCTAACTGATAATCACTGAGTAGGTCTTTGAGATTCAAGCTCGTATACTCTGGCTGTTGCATCCTCTCGAAATTAGCTCGCAGGTTCTGATGCTCTATGGTGGGCGAACGTCCGTGACAACCAAGCGACCTGGGCAACTCTGGCACATCGCCCAGTTCGAGCCAGACGCTCTTCAGCCTCGACAATACTGTCTCCAAAGCTGCGGTGGATGTCCTGGGCACTCCGACGGAACAACACATCGAGCGCAGGCTTTCGGACTCGAGTGCTGGTTTGTTGACGGAGGAGCATGCGTGACGAGCAGAACACAGCAAAGTCGACTACATGGCGTCCAAGGTACTGGCGAAGCGAGTGAAGGATGGATCCTGCAGCCGTTCCTGACGGAACGACCTGGTCAAAGATCATGCAGTCCAACACTTGCAGGGCGGCTTGCCACTGGGTCGCCCTCTCGCAAGCACCGAGTAACACTTGCCAACTTATTTCTGTAGGGCTGAGATGCCAAAGTTGCATTCGGCTGAAAAGATCCAACACTTCAGCCCAACGATGGCTCTTCTCACATGCACTCATGGCTGCATTCAGAGTGATGATACCGGGTCCGGTCCGCCGGCTGGTTGCTACCAGACCCAGAATCGCGAGCGCCGCGTCCCAAGCCCCGCATTTCTCGCAGGCGCTGATGGCGGCATTGAAACTGATCTCGTCGGGATCCATCTGCTCCAAGGAGATGGAGGTCAGCAGAGCCAAGGCATGTTTCCACTGCAACTTGCAGCTGCTGATGGCGGCATTGTAGCTAATTCTGTCGGACAAGGACTTCGATGACATCTCTTCCAAAAGCTGTAACGCGACGCCCCACTGACTGCTCTTCTCGCAGGAGCTGATGGCCGCATTGTAACTGACGGTACTAGCCTGCAACGCGACGTGCTTCAGCTCCTCCAGCAAGACCAACGACAGCCTCCAGTGGCCCTCAGGCTCGCAAGCACTGATAGCAATGTTGAAGCAGATCAAGTCGGGCAAAAGGTCAACCTGGCAGAGCTGAAAGAGCAGATCCAACGCACTGCTCCACTCGCCGTTCTCCTGACATGCTCGCATCGCTGCCCCTGCCATGATCCTGTTGGGCACCAGCTCAGCTTGGCAAGCGTCCCAAACGAGGCTGACCGCCAGCTCCCAGTTTGCACCCATCCTAGCTGCCCCCACGGCAGCACTGTGGCATATCATGTCTGGCAGAACCTGCTGCCACGACATGGAGTCGAAAATGCCAAGTGCCTGAAGCCAGGCGCTGCCTTTTTGGCAGGCGCTGATGACAGGTACGTAGCAGAACACATCCGGCTGTAGCTGGTTCTGCAGCATATCCTGGCGCGGTCATGCTCCTTGTTAATACTAGTAATCATCATCGCTGTCATAAAAAAATTCTAAACCTTCAACTAGTGCACTGCTTTGAAGCTGTCCTGAACCCCCTTCTCAACCCCCACCCGGGTTTAGGCTTGAGGGTTGAGTGCTTATAGTGCTACCCATCTTTAAGGAAAGCGAAAACTTTGCATCCGAGCTGATACCACGAAGTCAGACGTCTGAGCACAGAACCCAAGTAGTGTAGGGGCCTTAATAATTAGAATAGGGCTCTGGGGTATATTCGACTGTGACTATCATAAGGAACCCCCAAATAGTATAGGTAATTATTCAGGCCCCTTTATTATGAATGCTATCCCGCTCATTGGCACAGCTCATTGCCATGACGGCGAGATGTATCCAAGTGCTGTGGCTAAGACTCATGCTCAGGGTTTTTTTCCCTCTCGCATTGCTGAGCATGCTCAGGGTTTAGGGTTTAGGGTTTTGTGGATGACACCCAGATCCAGTTGCAAAGGACACAGAATCCCATAGCTAAGTCCTCCCCAAAGCTGACCTTCTGAAGGAACGTAAACGCATGCATGCATCTATAAACGGTGTGTGCATAGAAATATGTGTATATATATATATATATACATATCTATCTGTTTGTGTACTTTCTTACATCTTCACATATATAGAGAGAGAGATGGAGAGGTCTGAATACGAAACAAATGAGAACCTCCCCTCACCACAAACACACCACAGCATCTGCAGAACCCTTTATGGGGTTTTTGGGGTTAGGGAACCCTTTAGTTAGGGTTTAGGGTTTAGGGTTATAACATCTACGTTTCTTGACCCAAGTAAAGGGCTGCAAACCCTCCTCACGCCCTACTCCCAGCCGATCCAAGAGTCCGCCAAACCACCCAGAGCTAGCTCCCAGCATCCGCTTCGCTCAGAGGCTCCTTCAGCAGAAGTTGGCTCACAAGATAAAAGGATGAGGAGTAGGGCCATGGATTCACAGGGCTTGTTTTTGGGGCTTAGGGCTTAGGGCTCATCGCCTCGAGGTTTTACGGTACAGGGTTTAGGGCTTGGTGTGTTTGGGACGTTTAGGATTTCCAGGCTTGCTAGCTCAAAACACTCTCTCAGCCCGATACCGGCACATGAAACTGCAGACTCTAAGCTCGGCCCAAGTTCTACCTTAACCTACCAGAACCTACTTTTTTGTAGGGTCCCTATAAATCCCATATTAGGGTTTATAATCAGAACCTGCAAAAAAGTGGGTTTTGGAAGGTTAAGGTATGTCGTCTGAGGAATGACTCTCCCATTCCTCCAAAGTAGGGCTAGGTTAAGGTTTACGGCTCGGCGTTTAGGGCCGCAGGCACTCTTTGCAGGGTAAGCCACCCAAGGCGGCACTGCAGTGGAAAGCGTTGACTTCCACCTGCTTGGTGAGATCCCGAAACATCACACGCACAAGCGACTCAAAGAATAAGCGGACGTCTGTATCCTAGTCGGTTCTCGTGCCTGTGTTTTTGTCGGCATATGCGGCCAGCATTTTCTAGCTTCAGTCTTTCTTAGCATGCTTGAGGTGTGACGTTGAAGACCGCCAGGCCAGCCATCTTTATGCTTGGACCATCCTTATACCCCAAAATCCTAAATCCTATAGACTGTAAGCCCGAGGTCATAAACAGGATCGCCAAGCCACGCGCGCCGCTCTCAGCGCCTCTAAGGCCAAGAGAGCCAGGTCGGCTCGCCTTGCTGCTCCGAGGCCTGCACACTTGGCTAACAAAGGGGTCTGCCTGAAAGTAACCAAAAACCATCCCAGTAGCATGGCATTACGTACTAGTATTATAGCAACAGCAACACTACCAACCATGGACCATTGTATTTAGTTATATCAATCTGGGGTTGTATTAAGGTTATATGCGAAAATGCAGTTGACTGGGCTGGTGATATAGGATTGGCAGGTACATTGCACGATACAGTAGCTATGCAGGGGCGGCACCAGGATGCTATTACCAATCACTCACACACCTGCATTCCATTAGGTTACTGCCCATAGAAACCTTGTGTGCAGAGTTTACGGTTTCGCGGGGGTCTTGGTCTCGGGGGGCTTGATGAAGCGAAGTCATTGGGGCTTCGGGTAGGCATTGTCTTCTTGTGACGCTATCCCGGAGTTCAAGCGTATATGTGTATATATATAAATATATATAGATAGATAGATAGATAGATAGATGTCCTATCTATAAGCACCTCATGACATATACTTACATATATATATATATATATCATGTTACATTCTTCTTTTTTCTTACTATTGCGATTACTATTGCTGTGGTGGTTATTACTCTTTCTGTTACGAGTAGTATTATATATATATATATATATATATTATATACACATACATGTATACATACCGAGGGAGAAGCACGGACCCCTGAGACGAGGATGCTTCAATTCCTGCGTGTGTTCGAAAGCCGCTGGCTACGAGAGCCGCTGATTTAGGGATAGCAACAGGTCCAAGAGGTTAGAGTTAGAGTTTGCGAACGTTCAGGGCTAAGTGAAGCCTGATGGCTTCATGCTTCAGCGCATGATGTCTTTAAAGCTTACTAAGGCTGGGACACTACACCCCTGTCTCAAAAAACATCGCAAGGATGCCTTGTCTAGCTAGCGGGACAGCGAAAGAAAGTAGTAACTTGCCTAACAAAAGATGCGTAAAGTTGCGTGAACGGACGCTATATCTTGTGTCGGAGAAGACATCTTGACCCCTCAACACTGATAAAAAGCTACGCCCCTCTCTTCCCGCAAAGCCCGAATCCTACATGAGTAAACTCCTGATCGCTGAAGTGATCCTGCAGTAGAATTAGGCTGGAGGCTTACTATCCTGTATCATGCTTAGCAAGCTAGGGCTCGGGATTCAGAATCAGAGTTCTACTGGGGTTTTTGATTGTCGTAAATAAAATGATGGTAGTAACAAAGCAACAGTCGGCTCGATCAACACTTCGGATTTATGTCTTTGGCTCAGATTCATCACGGCCCTCCACCTTTACAAATGGCAGTCGCAGACACTGTAACTGGGGTCCTGGATGATCCAACTCCATGCTTCAAGCTTGACGAAGAGGGTGCGTCGGATCCACAGCAATAAAGACACGCAGAACCGCACCTGTGATGGACGCCGCCTGCATCGTGAAATGACCCTGCCCTGCAGGCCTCCCTCTGCAAAAGCCCCTATAGCAACAGAAAATGTACCATAGAAGCCTTGATAAATGGAATGCGATAATGGTGAATATAAAAACCGTTCTTTCAACCAGAAATTTGTACGGAATACGACGACTAAGCATTCCAGTCCTTAGAATAGTCATGAGCATCGCCGAGCCTTTGAGTAGAGCTGTGAGATGTCGAGCTTCAGCCCGCAGCCTTCTCACACAAGGGGAGCGGGGGCGGTGGGTAATGGTGGGGGCCTTAATAATTAGAATATGGTTTTGGTGTCCTTTATAGTATAATTATACTGAGGAACCCCTAAAATAGTATAGGTAATTATCAAGGCCCTTATATTAGGGGCTCGTGGTTTCAGCACTCACTCTCGGACATGCCTAGGCGAGCGAAAGCTCATTGGCTCAACGAACGGCACGCATCACCGTCCGACATTAACTTGGCACGCTCGACACGCACTATCAGATAGAGTCCGACAGAGCGTTGTCAGACCCAGTGTCCTAAGCCAAACACACAGTGCTCTGCGCAGCTGCAAGACATCACGTCAAATCCGCCTCAGCATCTTCGCCAGAGGGCAGAAGCATAGTAGAAGCGAAAAGCTTGAAAAGATCCGTCATTTCGCTAATTCAAGCTCCGACTATCCTCAACCCTACAAGTCCATCCTCTCATAACATCTGTAAAGAATCTCGAAGATCGCCGAATTCAGAACCTTGGAAGTCGCCCTCGATCAGATAAGAATGACTAAACCAGAAGCGTACCCAACACACCCGAACCCCGAAATGCCGCCCTAATGTAGGGGCCTTTATAATTCGAAGAGAGTCTTGGGGATATTATACTATAATTACACTAAGGAACCCCCAAAATGGCATTGGCAATAATTTAGGCTCCTACATTGACTCTCCGGGCAGCCTTGGAATATGTGGCTCGAGCGCCCGTCGCGCTAGCGCAGGGGAAGTCGGCTCCGCCCCTCTGCTCAGGAAGCTTACTTAGGGTTTAGGGTTTAGGGTCTAGGGTTTAGGGACTTCGGGTTTGAGGCGTCCGACTTCCAAGGGTTGCAAGAGAAGTAATGTAAGGGCCTTCATAATCAGAAGAGGGTGTTGGCATATATTATACCATGATCCTGATAAGGAGCCCCCTCAAATGGTATTGGTAATTATTTTTTGGCCCCCATATTACAGGGTTTATAAGCACAAGGTTTTAGGGCTCAAGGTTTTGGCCAGGTCCTCGGGCTGCCAAGGAGCCAACAGCTTGGGCGGGAATAAGTAAGAGTAGCAATGTAAATCCACGTGCGCAGTTCGGGAAAGTATATATAATATATGTTTTTTAGGCTTTTTAGGTACCTGGACCCTTAAGCAAGTGATTAGGGAGCTTGTGTGGAGAACCCCAAAACCCTCTTTGTGGAGACAGTACTTTGGAACATTTAGGGTTCTTTGGGGTTCCGGGGATGAAGGCGTAAAGAAGTGCCAGTGTGACGCCGAGGCTTTGGGGCTGCCCTTTCTGGGGTTTATATGGGGCGAAAAGGGGAAGCTACCTTTAAGTCGCGAGGGCGAACACCCAAGGCAAATTCTCATTAACGGCTCTAGGATTGCACACTGCCCGCTATGGTTTAAAGCATCTTCAAGGAACGGACCTTCAGAACCGAGAATTAAGGTCTCTTGTGGTTCTCTCCGTATATATTGAAGCTACCAGAAACGGCTACACCGCTGGCTTGTTTTCCTGCACCTAGATGCCTCGCCATGTAACCTTTTTTTGCAAAGCACAGATCATGGAACCGACCCCAGCTCATTAACATAGGGGCCCTGATAAATAGAGTTGGGTTTAGGGGGCCATTATACTATACTTATAATCAGGACCCCCGAAAAAATAGTATTGGTAATGATTTAGGCTCCTACAGTATTGCCTCACTGCCCGCCTCCAAGTCCCAAAGCCGGAAGCTCCTACACCCGGGAATGCCTGATTCAAAATTGGAGCCTTGAGTTAAAACGAACACATCTAAAACCTGTGGATCCTGTCTCTCTCTCTCTCTCTCACACGGAGGTCATCATGTCTCTATTCCGAGACATAGCAATAAAGTCCTAAACTCTGAACACAAAAGCCTAATCTTTAACAAACCTCCAACCCCAAACCCTAAACCACCACATTCCTTGCGAAGATCCCACCCTTAACCCCTAAACCCCTTAAAGGGAGCCTGAGCCTCGGGTTGGCTTGCTGTTTGCTACCTGGCGGCCGAGCAGGGCGTCCAGCTCTGGCAGCCGGCGACCCGACATGGCCAGGGTTCTGTGGGATTAGAAGTTTAGGGCTTATAGTTTTTAGGTTAGGGTTTAGGGTTAGGGTTTAGGGCTTACAGGGTTTAGGTTAGGGTTTAGGGTTAGGGTTTAGGTTTAGGGCTTTCAGGGTTTACGGCTTATAGTTTAGAGTATATAGGACTTATAATAGGGTCTGAAGTTGACGGTTTAAATCCTGCGGGGTTTACTGGGTTTAGGGTAGGGTTGATCTAGGGTTTAGGATTTGTTGGCGTTGGTTCCTGCCTGAAAATCTGCGGCCCTGACGCTGGAACCTTGATGCCAGGAGAAAATACTGTTACTATAGACCCACAACACTATTTGATAAGGTGCTGTTGTCGATCAGCTGCAGGGATCAAGCCTGATTTTACCGGGGGCACTTAAAATCCAAACACTGCCCGGAAAAAAACCCACAATCCTGCATACGTGCTTAAGCCCAAACCCAAAACCCCCTGCAACTGACGCTTCGACCCAGAGCTGGGGTCTGGGAGATTGTGAGTCTAAAGTGAAGGGAAACTACAGGTGGGGAGTTTAGGGTATTTAGGGCTTCTATAAGGCTTCTATAGGGTATATAAGCCTTCCATAAGGCCCCTACAACAGGACTACCCACCTGAAAATGTCCTAGATAAAGTCCCAATCCCGAAGCACTATCCCTGCAACCTGCATCCTGCCACTCCGGAGGGTCCAGCCTAGGGTTTAGGGTTTAGGGCTTAGGGTTCCTGCGAGTTTTTTTTCTTTAGGGTGCTTGGCAGTTTAAGAGGTTCATGGTAGTTTAGGGCTCTTGGCAGCTGAGGGATCTTGGTAGCTTAAGGTTCTTGGTGTTTTGAACAAAGAAACACGTAAGAACTAATCAACTTGGATTCCTCCGAGGACCCTATATGCAAGTGCAAGTGGCGGCTCTCAGAGTTTCAGAGAACACAGGGTTCCTTTATCAAGAAGCCCTATTAGGCCCGATCATGTACTTATCCTGTTGGAACCCCAACCCCAACCCAGGGAAAGTTACAGGCCTGAGCCCTCGTGGCACACGCACCGTTTTGCATCATCGCGGCGCAACAACTTGTCTCTTGTGAATGAGCAAACACTCGAGGTGTTTCTGGGTCCGCCAGGGTTTAGGGCTAGGTTCTCATGGATGACCAAGACCTTCTGGTCCCCAGATTCCTTCGCGGTATATCGGGGCAATACTACTCCTAAGCCCTCAACCCTCTGAGACCCCCCCATGCCCGAGAAAAGCCTAAAAGCGTGCTTTATGCAACTACTCGGAAGACTCTTGGCGGATCTCCTCCAAGAGTTCCTCCAATTCTCGGGGCAACGGCGCTTCCGCGGCCAAGTCCTTGCCTTGTCGGGGTCGGTGAAGGGACGGAGAGGAGAGAGGCGCTACTATAGGCTTAGGATTTTGCATGTGTGTACAGTTAACATATATAAGACAATAAAAGCATATGTAGTAGACTCCGTGAAAGCGGTCCTTGACTACGACCCATGAAGAATAATATGGGTAGTCGGTCAAGTCCGATGTTACAAACACCAACTTTCTGACACCAGGCACCCTAAACCTGTCAACCAGGCAAAGGCTTCATCGTGCCTCCGGTGCTTACATTTCTGGTTTCTGGCAAGCGGCACGTACCAAGTTACATTTTTCGACTTGAAAGCTCGTGAACAACACAAAGACGAGAGCGCTTGCTGCTGGAAAAACCTCTTTTCGACCGCCTTCTCTATCTCTGCAAAACAGATAACGTTTGTACACGTGTTGTTCTCTCGCTCTCTCTCTCTCTCTCTCTGTCTCTCCCTCTCTTAATATATATAACATGTATAAATGTATGTATACATATATATATATATATATATATGTATACTTGTTGATATATCTTTACATATATATATATATACACATGTATTGATGTTTATTTATATTTCAACAATGGATATGTATTACGGAGTGGTAATAGCCTTAGCACCGTCACTATTGTTTTCTTTCATACTGTTATTAATATTATTATTATCATTATTCATGTACATGTTTATCACTCTCCCCCTCACTCTCGCTCAGTCAGTATGTGTGAACACGCCTACTTGTACATACAAGAGCTTAGGATTATATTGAGGGAGTTGATTTGGGAGAAATCAGAAAGTACGGTGTGCTCCTGACTACTCCTGTACGAAACTGAACTTATCGCCTGCATCGGCTACTAACACAGCCGAACAGCATTCCCTAAACCCTAAACCCTAAATCCTAAACCCTAAACCCAAACTTCGACAGCTCGCTGAACTATGAGAATGCAAATTCCAAGCACCTGGGGTGGAGCCCAAGACCTGATCCACGAAGCCCAGATCTTGACCCGAAATGGAAGTGATAGTATGGCCTTTAGGAAGTCTGGGCATGCACGAACCTGAGTACGTACACACCGCAAGCCCGGCCCAATAAACCCTGCGCGCTTTAGAAGGCCTGATCATGGCAAACCCTGAATCACCGGGTCCTGCGACGGTACGCAGCTCAATTCGCCGGCAGTGGAGGAAAAGGCGAGGACAGCGTGGCACGGAGGACTCCTGGAGGAATCGAAAAGGCGCTATTGCTACGGATCCTGCTGCTAAGTGCTTATAGGTTTCGTCAGAGTGCCCTGGGGAGGATATGGCAGGGATCAGCGGCACATGAAACGGTATCCTTATCATTATCATGGTAACTTACACAAGCTCCTTACAAAGGACCTGGCCTAGGGGTAGGGTGCATACAGTCGGGAGCTTGGGGTTTGCAGGGCGAATCCTGAACGCTCTTTGCTTACAAAAGAAGGAAACAATAAGGAATAGCCGAATTTGTCTGTTTGCTTATGTGCAAACCTATACGTACATACATACATGCATACATAAATACACAAAAACAGTTAAATGAATACATATATATATATATAATGTTATATATATATATATACACATTGATATTTATGTTTATATTTGTTTATACTTATAGAGAGAGAGAGGTAATGTGTGTGGCTTCACTGCGTGGGTATACGGTATATGCAAGGATGGTTCTCTCTCTCTCTCTCTCTGTCTTTCTCTCTCTGAATTCTTCGTCAGGGCTTGAGGGACGGGTC